AAAATGTCTTGAGCATTACTGAGTCCTTTATATGCTAAATGCATTTGTTTACATTCACTGTATTGTAATGCCACAAAGGACTGGCCTTGCATGAGGCTGAGTAGCCCCATATTTTTCTAGAAAGGCGTGTTGAATTTAATGAAACTACATATGTACATGTAAATTGGCTATGAGTTTGGTTCTAAATTGCCATAAAACAATGTATTTAAAAGAAGATGATAAAAATGTGTAGCAAAGTTTACCTTTGAAAAATTATAAGTGCCTATTTAACACAAGTGCCTAAAAAAATGTGGCATTTCCAGAAACAATAGCCAGAAAAATGATTTTAGATTTCTTACCCAAAAAAATGAAATTTCAAGAGTTTTCTTTCTTTACAAAATTCTTAACTTTTATTAATAAAATGCTTCGCTAAGCGCAGCCTGATACGACCGCAGAGGTCTAACCCTAAACAGTTGGGGCAAATTTGGACACAATATTCAAGCTTGATACTGTCTGAATTTGGATTGTGATCAAATTTTTGACATAATATATATAAGTTTCTGACACAATATAAATGTGGTCAAAGATCTTATAAATCCATTGTGCAATACTGTGCAATTGAAGATTTCTTCTTGAAACTTTTCAAAAATTCGAAATTTTAAAAATTTTGAAAAAAAAAATATGAATCCCTTAAAAAAATTGGGAAAAAAATCCCCCCCCCCCCAACTTTTTGAAACCCACCTTGGAGCAATAACCCCAAAACTCAATCCCAGCCTTTCCTTTGTAGTATGGAACCTTGTAGTACAATTGCAGAGAGATCCATACACTTACACACAAGTTATTGTCTGGAAACTAGAAAAATGCTTGTTTTGGCCCTTTTTTGGCCCCTAATTTCTACATGTTTGGGGCAATTAACCCAAAACTCAATCACAGCCTTCCCTTTGTTATATGGAACCTTGTGGTACAATGTCAGAGAGATCCATATACTTACACACAAGTTATTGTCTTGAAACTAGAAATATGCTTGTTTTTGGCCCTTAATTCCTATACTGTTGGCCCCCATAAGCCCTTAAATGAATCCCAACCTTCTTCTTGTGGTATTGAACATTGTGGTACAATTTCAGAGCAATCCAAATACTTAAACACAAGTTATTATCCTGAAACTACAAAAATTCTTGTGTTGGGCCCCTTATTCCTAAACAGTTGGGACCATCATCCCCAAAAATCAATCCCAACCTTTCTCTTGTGGTATTGAACCTTCTTAAAAAATTTCATAGAGATCCATTCACTTAAACTAAAGTTATTGTCAGGAAACCAATGTGTCTTCGGACGATGACGCAGTTGACGATGATATCATACCATTACACGATTCCAAAAAATGTTTTGCGGTCGTATAAAAAATAAATGATTTTATTTCTAGTTTAAATTCAATAGAAAAATATGGATTCTATTAAATTTCTTTTTACAAAAAGATATCAAATAATAAATGTTTTTACAATGGACAAATCAGAACCAAGAATTTTTCAGTTAAACAAATTCAAAAGGAAGAATTTCTGTAAAACACCATCTATTTACATTTGTACACATTAAATTGAATAGATTTCAGTTTGGTCATTATGCAGTTCATAGGAATTATCCGAAAACCAACAAATTCTCTGTCTAAATAGAAAGGCCATAGAAAAATTGCAGGCAAGAAAAACTTTTTTATTTTATTGTATTTTTTTGTGTGTAAAATAAGTTTTGCTCTACAGAGAATGTTGCTGTTAGCCTGGCAGTAAATTTATAAGCTATGTGAAACTAAAGGAATGATAATTGGGCAATGTTGACACACTTTAAAGAGATTATCAGACAATTTAAAAAGCATCATTGAAAATTGTCAAAAAGAAACAAGAACAATACTTTTTTTTTCATCTGCAAAAAAAAAAAAAGAAAAAAAGAAGAAATGACATGGAGGATAAAAAGAAGCCTGGAAGGGTTAGGGAAACAATCAATCATTTTGCATGGCCAAAGAAATGACAAACTGATTCCCAACAACATCAGTTTAAATTTACCTTGTACAAGAGTTCTAATGGTTAGGGATAAAATAATGAAAAGGAGAAGTTAACAGATCAAAAATGTACACCCAGTGTGGTTAAAATGGATCTAAAAATGTATTTTCTATAATCAATTTAATAATGTTGCCTTGGACTTGTTGAAGCCAATTAAACACACACTATATAATATATCTTTTTTTAATTAAATAATAAAATATGTTCCTTTGCACTTCCTTCTATAATAATATATGTGTTTGTATTTTTTTAAAGCCTGCTATATAAATAAATTGGAATTCATTATTATTTTTTATGATGAAGGCACCATAACCTGACAGTCTGCCAAAGAATTTAGATGATTACAATGTTTGAAGTGTTGTAGATTTTTTCCAGTAGAAATAGGTCAAAGCATCTATAAATTTAAATCTTTTAAATCAATTTACAGCAAACTACAATTTACAACACATTGCAAGCAGTGGAAAATGAATTGTCTCATTAATTAATCCTAGAAATCCAAGAACACAGTATAGTAAAGTTTATGTTAATTCTTTGACATTAGACTAGGGCTTTAATGATCAGATCACCAAAAATAGTACAATATAAATAATGTAAAAGCTGCATTTAAGATCTGTCAAAGATTGATTGAAAAACTCATCTTTCTCAAAATATTATTTACGACTAGTAAATGTCAAAAAAGTTTTCTATCCATACCGACATCCCGATTTATGAAGGATATCCCCCATGAGAGGTGTTGACTTGAATTTTGAAATTCTTTATTATATGAACTGAACACCTCAAAACAGGCATTCAAATGGGTTAAAAGGGTATTTAAGCTCATACATACTCATTCAAACAATATAGTATTTGATAACAAGAATCTTATGACAATACAAGAAAAGCATTAGGTCCTCTTGCACTTAAAATCCCCCAAAGTAAGTTCTAGTTGTGGTGAAAAAATGTACCATTTTTAGTCAAAGTATTTTATCAATAATCATTTCATACAATTTATTTTACCTACTCTTCATAAAGTGATTAATGTTTGTCGGAGACCTTTTCGCCCCTAAATGCATCCTACCACACAAAGTTAAATTATTGTAGTTCCTGTAGTATCTAAGAACTAAACTGTAATGATCATATAAACCTAATTAAAGTGATTAAAGCATCACATTAAATTGATAAAGAGCCATTCATCTTCAACACATGTAGAAGCATCTATACAGCATAGTTTGTTGACTATCTATAAACATGAAATCAGTGAAACTATCAAAGTTAGAAGGTCTTATGTCACATTGAAAAGACAGAGAGAATAGAAAGTGTGAAGATTGAAGGTGATTTACTCCATGTATGCTTCAAGCTCAAACCTTATAAACCTTTTTTTTTATATACACGACAAAATAATAGGAACTTTTTTTCCCCAAATTGCACTAATTTCATGCTTGATGTTATTTCTTTCAATTGCTACGCCTCTTACTTGAGCAAGTAACAAAATGTCTTATAAAACACAAGTGAAAGAGTAGGTAACAGGTCGAAAAATTAAATACACCCAAAACAAAAGGCGGTAAGGCCAAAAAAAAATATTTGTCTGTTTACGGTTACCCGACCAACCCTACTTTTGAGCACAGACTCTAAGTCATTTTATTCGCATCGTAAAGTGAATAATTAACTGAACTTGTGTCAAAAGCGAAGTTAAGAGTTGCCAATAAAATAAATCAATTGCATGATACATCCCAATGATCACAATCGTGTGAATGACAGCTTCAACAATAACCAAGGGAAATAATCCAATCATTAAAAATACAGGTAAATTGACCTATGGACAACTCGGACAACGGCAAGATAGACCACACGACTCAAAATCATGTCGCAAAAAAAAATGAAAAAATAAAATAAAATGGAAATACCAACCTGCCTACCCTATTTTTTTAATGATGTAACCTTTAACAGACATTTACCTTTTTTGGCCTAATATGATAATCGTCTAATATTTCTGTTGATTAGGATTATACACATTTCAGGCCCCGTGAGTAAGAAACATGGATTACTGGGAGGGTCTGTATTATTATGTTTCGTTTTAAGATGGATCATCATGCATTAGTAGATAATCCTTACAACACTAAGAATCCAAGCTAGCTACTGAAAAAGTTCTTGAATTGATTAATAGGCATCAATGATATGATTCAGAGTATTGTATATATTTCTGAATACTAATATTTTTATTGCATATGTAAGATAAAATATCATAAAATACAATAAAAAATAAGCACAACAGTAAATATCCTACTAAAAAGTTTTCACAAGAGAAAAATCTTGTATTTACATGTACATAAAATGTATGAGGTTTGTAAAATAAATTTTAGAACAATCAAAGATATATACATGTATGCCATCAACACCAATGTCATCAAGGCCCAAAAACATTAGAACGCAACCAATGCACTGAATAAATTCAACCACTAATTAGATTCCTAATCCTTCACCCTCCTTTTTTAATCTCAAATAAAGCTTCTTTAATAGGAACTTCAATTAAAATGCCACATAGGAACAGATACACGATCTTCAAATTAATAAATTTTTCATTTCCAGGAAAAATTTGAGGTCTCAAAGCAAATAATATCTTCATGTTGCAATTTCCTATGACATGTTTTACCCCAAATTACCCCATGTCAACAGCGGTAGTTCATTCACAAAACTGAAATTGAAAATTTGTCTATTAAATGAGCATTGCTATCTGTATTTTCCTTTTCTAACTGTTCCAGATCCTTACCTTAACAATAACATGCCTTAATACATGAATACATTAGGAACCATGTACTCAAAATAATATTAAATGCAAGTAGGATGTATGACATTTAATTGTCTATTTACGGAAACTTTCAATTCACAAATAAAGGGAATCTTACTTTGTTGCGATCCCTTTACATTGACAGAAATGAAATATACAAAGACAGCAATGAACATGAAAAAATGTAAACAAAAAGTTGTAAAACTTACCAGCAACCGGAGACGGTTTCTTCAGTACACACCAACGAGGTTTCCACTGTAAAATATAAAACAGGTGAAAATTAACATTGTTCTCAGTATTTAACCAATATTTGATTTAACTTTAGACAAAGATACTCACTTTTTTGCCGTCTCTAAACTTTACAAGCCCCTCCACAACCAAGTTCATGTTGTCTGCCATATTGCTTCCATCTTTGTTACGGTACAATTCATTGGTTAGTCAACAAAAAAGGGAGGGGCACAGACAAAATCATTACAAACGGTGCAAAGGAAATCAGTTCCTATTCGATTTTGATATCAAGGTCGGTGATATATCAAAATTATTTTCTATCAATAAATACCGGGTTCAATTTATATAGTGACCATTTTACAAATATTGGTTGAGAAGTTTCAAACTATTGTAAAAACTGGTGTACGGGAGAAATCTCAAAGAATAATTGTATGAATGCTGTGGACATTCGCATATATTATAATACACCTTATCGCTATTTAGTCCAATCCGGAAAAAAACAGTCATTTAGACAACTTCCTGTTTGGGTCAACAGGCCTTGAACAGGTAAACAACAAAGGTCATCAGTAACGAGCTGAGGGAGGGAAAAATTTAGAAAGCGATCAATACGAAACTTTGATAGATTATGATCCATTTTTTCGAAACTCAAATTATAGTCAATTATTATTTTGTTTGAAGTATTTACGATGTTTTAAACAGATCTCATTAAAAAGTATCATGCATGGTACATTGTTTAAACAGGGCCCCAGATAGCATCAACTGGATGAAAAAGTTGTGTAATTTTAGAACTTATCCGGAATGGAATAAATAGCGATTAGGTGTATACAATTAATATATGTCTCTGATTATAGTTTTGAAAACAATAAAAAAAAGCTTATCATTGGCGAATTTAGCGGGGAGTGGCGTGGGGCTTATGGAGCTTTTTGTATCATAAATGCATTGTCTTTTTACAAATCCCACTCCTAACATTGGGCTTCAAGATCCCGGTTCCACAACTGCTAATAAATATTACTAAGTCGTTTTTTTTTTTGAACTTTTGTTTTAATTCCTCTACGTTCATGGTCGTGCACCCCACTGAGAGTCAAATAGTAGATAGCAATATCATTTCCAAATCTTTACTTACTTATTAAGGTATTTTCTGAACATTTGAAAGTCATTATGATGTATCGGCTACCTAAACTACATAAATGATAAAAGTCAAATATCGTTTTATCTTGACTTTAAGTATGTGTTCTACAACTAATTTTTCGCAGAGTCCCCTGGCCACAATTAACGAACTTATTAATATTTATTGTAATACAGCATGGAATCGGAGATATATACTACACATATTTCTCTCATGGAATTCGTTTATTTTTTAGTGTAAAAACACTTGGGTGACATCAACTGTTACATAATTGCCTGCTTTTCGACAGGCACACCAATTTTGTTCACATCTATTCTTTCCAGAACATCCACATTTTAAAAAACCTTGTCCATCACAAATGGATGACAGTTTAACTGCTTGTCGAAAAGATATGAAATTGTCAATAGATACAGCTGACGGACTCATAATCAGGGAATCAGTGGGTTCAAACTGGTTTCTAGTGTATGACCCTAACAGAATGCAATGTTTGGTAGCAAGACGATAGATAACCTTTCTCTGACTTTCCATGGACAATTGCCATTATATTTCGGGGATCACCTTTTCCGCGATCAACAACTGGAATAGGAATAACAACATTACATCCAATGTCTACTTCTTCTAAAACCTTATTAGACCGACTTAACATACAATTGGCTTGTTTTACCATTGATTGAGAAGCGTTTGCACGTTCATTTTCAATGACCGTTTCCGTATCTCAGAGAAAGCAAATTACTTTTGACGGGAATTCTTCTGTTATGAACGATTTTCCACATAAAGCATGTACAGTTTTTTTTTACAAGTAGAACACGAAGTTGCATTCAATGTAGTTGTTTGACATACATCACACATATCAGTTTTAGATTCAGTAGGTTGGGGCTCAGAAATTTCCATTTGTTCATCATCAGTTGTACATGTATTTTCGTCATCAGTATTTATATTAAGTTCCATGTGGGCTAAATCTGACAAATGCTCTTTGCTGTCAATTATAGCTATAAGTTCATCGGGGAGTGAAGATCATGTTAGCCCAACTTTTGCATCTACCCCAAACATAGCTATGTATGGGGCTTTGTTTATGCCTGAATGGTGACCTCTGTTCTTCTCAAATTGTACAAATTTGACACAAACAGGCCAGTCTTTGCCGTGGCAATGGTTGTCTTGCATCCATGAAATAACCATATCAGCATTAGCTCGTTCAACGTTGCCTTGACTGTGGGGGTATCGAGGTTTACCATGAACAATTTTACATTCCAGCCATAAATTTTTAAGCTCCCTAATGATGTTTGCAGTTAATTCGGCACTATTATCACTTTAAAAAATGTTTGGATCACCAAAAAGAAGGAAGATATCAGTATTTACATTACTATTTCATATGCACGCTTTGATGGAAGTGGGATTAAAATTACAAATGTTGTTAAATGATCCTGGTATACCATTAAAATTCTATAGTCATTACATTTGAATGATTGCATGTCTATCAAGTCAACCTGTCCTCAGGAATTGAACTCTTTGCTTATTATAGGCTTAACGGCAATGCCTTTATACTAGCACTTCTACGTTTTTTTAGTTGGGATTCCTCGCAAAGTTCCTTGTAAAGTTCTAAAGCTTCGTATGAAACATTTGCATACTTTCCATTTGCCTCCTTTACCATTTTGTCCCTACCACCATGACCTATTGATATGTGAATTTTCTGCACTATGTTGTACATGTCTTCAAGAAATGCATAATATTTGATATCTTCATCTGATGAATACCTTTTTTTTAAAGAATGTTTTAATCAGAAAGAATAATAAATGTTTACGAATTCCCTGAATTTAATTAGGGAATCTGTAAAACGATCTTAATTATTTCTGTAATCAGTGATTTTGTAAAATCCCTAGTCAAAATTAGGGATTTTATAAAATCACTAATCAGTTTAGTGATTATACAAAATCCCTGATTTTACAAATTCACTGTAACATATATATTTCGAAACTCGTTTGCTATGCTCGTGTCTGTAGGGACGTTTTAGTTTTCAATAAACGTAGCCTATGCATAACCGGTAAATTATTAAGTCAGTTTTTTCGTTACCACAAATTATCAAAAACCTTTACTAAATTCTATTATATATACAAAGACTTAGTTTTGAAGTTTGCCTGTACCTGTAACAACTTGATTCATTTACAAATGGAATATCACATCATAAATTTTACGGTGATGTTGTTTATAGAGACCGTATATATGATCCTTGTAAACTTATAAATACTTTGAATACAATGATATTATTTTAGGTTATCAACTTTACATTGTGGAAAGATCTTTGAATATTGTCTTTATCGGTCATAACATTGATTTTTTTTAATTATTTCAAACATAACTAAATATATTGCTATATAGTCATGCAGACTTTTGGTCATACATCCTGTCGATACTTATATTTTGGCATTACACAAGGTCATGCTTTTCTAAGACGGTTCATGGCGTGCTTATCCTAAATCCGTTGACTGTGTACTGATACTATTAGATATTTAGTCTGGGAAAACATTGTTAATTTCTTAGTTGAAACTGGCTTTACAATAGCTGGCAGTAATTGTGAGTACTGTTAGATTGGTACTTTGTGTCTTTTGTCGTTTGTGGTTTTATGACAATACAAGCTTTTTCCAGCAAATCTCTACAGTTTGTTCCTATGTTGTGCTTTAATACCACTGTCCCATGTTAGGGGAGGGCCAGTTGAGCGCACACAAACATGTTCCCCGCTATATTTTTTACACGCTTCTCCCAAGTTAGAAGCATGCAATGCATTGGTTGTCAATGGTTGCTGTCTGCCATATTTGTTTTTTATTTGCTAATTTAGCCAGACTAAAAGTGATGACAGACTAGTGATACAGTAGTTGAACTACTTAGACTACTCGCCAACGAGGCCCCCAAATTGAAAGAAGATATTCCAGTAAAGATACCACCAAGAAGTATAATTTTTTATAAACCCAAAGCAATTGATGATGAAATAAGCAAGTAAGAAGACAAGACATTAATTGAAAAGTCCAATAGTCCCTCGTTGCCAGGCTTGGTATTTGTGCAGACGAAAGATCTTCGGGACGTATGTGTTTTTATTACAGGAAGTTGAACGATTTGACGACAAAAGATGCGTATCCGATCCATATAAAAATAAGGAGATGAGGTATGATTGCCAATGAGACAACTATCCACCAAAGTTCAAATGAAGTGGATTTAACCATAGAATAAATGAGAATATAGACGCACTGAGTGGATCAAAGTGAATGTCAGTCTTGGACCTCAATATGCCTTACCATCTAGTGCCTATGAAGATAAGGAAAAGACTGCATTTTCTATACATAGAAATGTTACGATACCATTTGGATTGCGGGACTAACGTTTCAAAGAATTGTAGTGGTATATTCTATATAAAATTAGAAGATGTGGTATGATTGTAAATGAGACAACTCTCAAGCAGAGACCAAATGACATAGAAGTAAGCAACTAAAGGTCACCGTATGACCTTCTAGAATGAACAAAACCCATACTGCATAGAAATCTATAAAAGGCCCCGAAATGACAAATGTTAAACCCTTCAAACGAGAAAACCAACGGCCTGATCTTGTACAAAACAATAAACGAAGATCAATTACTAGCATGATATACAGCAACAAACGTCAACCACTGAATTACAGGCTCTTAACTTGGGACAAGCACATACATAATGTGGCGATGTTTAACATTTTTGCGGACATCCAACTCCACCCTAACCTGGGACGTACAGTAACAACACAACATAAGAAAAAAAATTAGAAAATTCAGTTGAAAAGGGGCTTAACTCATCAGATCTATACAAATCACAAAAACAACAAAAGAAAAAACACAAAAGACACAAAATAATGATCTGAGAGAAATCGCAGTTACTGAAAGCTAGTTCAAAGACAATAACAACTAATAAAAATCATGAGTATAAGACTAAAATGTCAATCAGTACAAATTCAACATCCAATGAATTCAGTGTAAAGACGTCATTAACAGTCAGAGAAAACCATTAGCTTATGCAGTGCTCAAATATAGGTATCGAT